GTTACTGGGTCGGCATTGTCCATAATTTCCTGTATTTGCTGAGTAGATAGCTCACCGAATGTGCTTTTTTTCATCCATGTTTTTTTGTCGACGAACCTTTGCTTCACTCGAAAAAGCTCATGCCGAGCGACATTTGCCGCTTTCATTTCCATATAAGGTCAAACGCAGGTATAATGGCCGGTAACCGAGATCCAGTGAACCAATCAGAAAGCTAGAATTGCATTATCCGAGGCTGAGAATTTAATAAATTGGCAATATCGTGTCGTAAAACGTCGAATTTGTTTGTTTGTTTGTTTGTTTGTTTGTTTCAGACATTGATCACTGTCTAAATCACACATGTGGTAATGGTGGATCGTGCGTTGACGGTATCAGCACTTACTCATGTAACTGCATGGCGGGATTCAATGGAGTTAATTGTCAGACAGGTGAGTTGACTTTAGGGCAATGGCAAAAGACAACCTGAATAATGATGTAGAAACGGCTATGTCGGCTTAAGAAAAAGGATGAAATCGTCAGATCAATCGATTGTAATTAGAATAGGTTCAACCATATACGACTTCCTAAAAACTTGACGTTTTTAGAAATCAGTAAATCGAGACCTTCATTGCCCGTTCCAACTTAATTATAACAACTAAACAATACTTGAGCAGGCGATCTGAGGAGAGCCCCTGGAAGCAATTTTAAAGGAGGTTTTCAACATGCACGTGACTATGATTCATCTTTATATGTCTGGTTGTGAGCGGGTTTTATTATTATTATTATTATTATTATTATTATTATTATTATTATTATTATTATTATTATTATTATTCTTACTAGCGGAGCTCCGGCGGCCCGAAGGGCTGCCAAGCGGAGCCCCATACCCATATAGGGAAGAAAAGGAAACCCATGAATTGATTTTCTCATGGTTATCANAATGAATGTATGGGTTGCTCATTTCTCGGCTAATATTCAACCAAATCAAATAATTATTTGCCGTTTTAATAACAGTCAAACTGGGAGCCTTTCCACCTAATATCGGAAGCTGAAAGAACTATTTAATTATTTAATTTAACTGAAATGTAGTTAACTTTTATTCTTGTTTTTGTAATTACGTGTATTACTTATTATATATCACAACAGACATTAACGAGTGTGTCAATCACACATGTCAAAACGGTGGATCGTGTGTAGACGGTGTCAACAACTACTCATGCAGCTGCTTGCCAGGATTTACGGGATATCATTGTGGGACAGGCGAGTGTTTTTGTTTGTTTGTCTTTTGCTTTTTTATTTTTGTTTTTGTTTTTTCGAGAGCAACCTCGCAAATGCTAACTAGATATGACTGGTGGTTCCTATATTTGAAATTCCGATTTCGCAACGTTGGCACATTCGCTTTTGCTCAATACGCAAGTTATCGTGAGCCTTTTAAGGAGGTAATTAACGAATTATCTCTGGTATCAGTTTCTAATAACAGGCATAGATAAGTGTGTTAATCACATATGCAGTAATGGTGGATCGTGTGTAGACGGTGTCAACAATTATTCGTATAATCGGCAGCCAGGTTTTAATGGAGATCGCTTTCAGAAAAGAAGATTTGACGAAGACGATATTCGTTTGTTTTTTTTTTCCTTCTATTTTTGTTTTCCTTTTTTTCTTCCCATTTGGTTGTGGCTTCCGAGTCTGGTTGTTTACTGTGTCGTTGTTTCTATGTTATTATAACTGTTGTTGTTGTCGTTGTTAGTGTGGTTATTGCTGTTGTAATGGTATCTACTTAACAACTAGATCCGTAGCCCGCATGGGCTATTGACCCGTGGCCCTTGAGGGCGAAGGGTCTAATTGTTTTAGAATCACCAACTAGTCGGACAAAAAAGGCAATAATAAAGTTAGCAAATGCAAGTTGAAGAAATCTTTGCTTGGGAATAAAACGAAAGGAAGCGTCACGCTCGATTGCGCCAATTTCACTACTCGAGGACTATTACTAATAGTCCTCTAGTAGCGTAGCAAATCACAATGCAGGATTTGCATTAGTCCACTAGTTGGGTGATACTAATACTGTTTAGTGCCTATAACACATTACCATGGTAAATTTTTTAACCACTTTAGGCGAACAAGTTAACGTCTTTTCTCGTCGACGATGTTGTTGTTGTTTTGGTGAAAACGACAACAAGGAGATTAACTCTGGTATCAATCTCTACAAACAGATATAGATGAGTGTGTTAATCACACGTGCAGTAATGGTGGATCGTGTTTAGATGGTGTCAACAGTTACTCGTGTAATTGCCAACCAGGATTCACTGGAGATCGCTGTCAGACTAGTACGTTTGTTATATCAACATTATTTTCTGTGTTTCTCTAAGACATTTTTCCTCGTTTGTTTTTCTTCTTTTTTTGAAGGAGTGATTTTCTCTTGTTCCGTTTTGTTTTCTTTTTTGTTTTTGTTTTTTTGTTTGTTTGTGTGTTTGTTTCTTTCTGTTTTACTTTTCGTTGCCATTTTTTGAGGGGTGGGCTTGTTCTTGTT